GACTGAACTGTGGGGTGGGGTTGGGAACAGAGAAGGCTGGCTAGGCTGTGCACAAGGCTGCACAGTGCACTCGTGTCTGGAAGCCACCAGAGGTGAGTCTTCTCACAAGGGAAGGCCTGAGCTGGAGGAGTGGCTCGAATGGTCGAGTGCCTGCCTAGCAAATGTCAAGCTCTGAGTTCAAGTCCCAGTACCACCAAAAATGTACTTAAAATGATAACAATGTCTTGGCCACCTAAGTGCTGTTTTAAGCTGAAATGTGCAAATGTGGTTTTAAGCGATATCTTTGTTGCAGGCAACTGGATAGATGCTCCGGGACAAAAGATGAAACCAACAATTTAAAAAAATTTTCATAAACTATTAAAAATTATAATAATAAAAATAAATGCATAAATTAAGTAGAAAATGGGGGATGGACATTACAGTAAGCTGACAAAAAAATCTTTACGGATAAGAGGATTTGAATAGCTGGACACTGGTGGCTCACGCCTGTAACACTAGTTACTTAGGAGGCTGAGATCAGGAGGATGGCAATTGGCAGTCCTGAGTGCAAAGCCTTGTACCCACCCAAAAAAATACATATGTAGGCCAGGAGTTCAGAACCAACCTGGGCAATATAGTGAGCCCCTCCCTCAAAAAATAAATAAATGAAAATAAAAATGTTACACTCCGTAACTAAGATGGGGAGGACACACATTCTTTTGGATTACTTATAGAACATTAAAAAAAATCGCCTAGGACATAAAACAAGACTCAACAGAAAACTCATTTTCTATGAAAATGACAGAATTGATTCAGAAGTCAATAACAAAAAGATAAAGGTAAACATACTATACATTTGGAAAATTTAAAATACACTTGTAAATAAGTCACAGGTGGAAGTTAAATAGTTAAAAAAAAACTCTAGAAGGAAACAATCATAATATATTACATATAAAAATGTGTGGGATATATGGCCAGGCATAGTGGCTCACACCTGTAATTCCAGATACTCAGGAGGTGAAGATCAGGAGGACTGCAATTTCAGGCAGTCCAGGCAACAAAAAATTAGTAAGACCCCCATCCCAACCAATCAGCTGGGCATGGTGGTATATGCCTGTTGCAGCTACATAGGAGACCAAAGATAAGTGGATCATGGTCCTTCCTGGGCAAAAATTCGAGACTCTGTCTAAAAAAAAATAACCTAAAAAAAGTAAAAAGGGCTGGAGGGAGGGTCAGGTGGCAGAGTGCCGTCAAACAAGCAAAAGGCTCAGAGTTCAAACCCAGTACGGCTCTCCAAAAATTGGTTTTGTGGGAGACAAGTAAAATAGTACTTAAATAGGAAATCCGTAATACTTTTTTCAGTACCACAGTCATGCACACCAGGTAAGTGCTGTAGCACTGAGCTATATCCCCAGCCTGGATATCTGTAATATTAATGTTTATGTCAGAATATAACAAAGAGCTGGGCACCGATGGCTCACACCTGTAATCCCAGCTACTCAGGAGGCAGAGATCAGGAGGATCACAGTACAAACCCCCCAGCAAACAGTTCACAAGACCCCAGCTTAGAAAGAACCCATCACAAAACAGGACTGTCAGAGTGCCTCAAGCAGTCAGAGCACCTGTTAGCAAGTATGAGGTCCTGAGTTCAAACCCCAGTGCTACCAAAAAAAGAAAAAGAGAAAAGAAAACAAGGTTGAGGCTCATGTTGGAAGAAAGAAATTTCCCAAAAGCAAGGGAAGAAATCCAAAAACATGGAGGTAGAAGAAGAGGAAAACGAAAAGAAAGTAAGATGAAAACAGAAGCTCTGTGAAGATACAATTTGCTTCTTAGTTTAGAAAACACTAATAGAGATAATAATAAAAATAGATCTGATCCAGAAAAAAGTCTAAACAAACTGTATTAGGAGTGCCTGGGGGAGGGGAGCCATGCAACAGCATGTAATAAAAATTGAGGAGCGAGCATACACACGCAGCTTCTTACCAATAAACTGAAATTTTATGTAAAATCGATAAATCACTCTGAAAATATAACCCATCAGGATCAACTCAGAAGTAGACAATAAAAATCCAATCGGCAGTCAGAAAGTGTCTCACAAGGAAGTGGAATTAAACATGTAAGGAACATTTGAATCCGGGCATGGGGGTGCACACCTGTAATCCCTTAACTGGGCTGAGGTGGGAGGATCATGAGTTTGAGGCCAGCCTGGGCTATGAAGCCAGACACCAGTCAAAAAAGCAAGTGAAAAATCGGGAATAATTCATTTCATCTTCCATTTATTATATCAAAGAAAAAAAGGCAACCCTCCAAAACTCCTAAGCAAAGCAATGTAAAACGACAAGAAAGAAAAATTATAGACCAGTTTTAATGAAAAACTTAAGTAAGATATTGTTTAAAATTCACGTTATATATTTTTTAAAATCTAGTTGAGTTTTTCCCAGGAATGCTAATTTGATTCAATGGAGGAAAACTGACTAACGTAATGTACCAGAAAACTATTTACTGATGCTCAATATCAAGCCAAGTTTTAAAGGAAAATAACCCTCTGGGCAAAATAGGAAAACAGGGAGAATGCCTTAACCCAATTAAAATGCATCTTTTGGCGGCACTGGGGTTTGAACTCAGGTCCTCACGCTTGCTAGGCTAGCGCTCTATCACTTGAGCCAAACACCCAGCCTGAAAATCATCCTTAATGAGAAAACGTTTAAAGTACACTTTGCAATCCAGATGAGATTGGGAGGCTGGTAATGACTGTTCCTTTTGGACAAAGGAGGTCATGGCCAGGAGCGAGAGAAGAAAGATAAGTAGAAGGCATAAAGGTTGCAAGAGGAGAACAGAAGTCATCCCTTGCTGGTGGTGTGACTATCTTTGTAGAAAAAGAAGAACAGAAATATGAAATACAGATTGCTTAGCAAGGCACCTGGCTGTAGCATAAAACCCGAGCTCTATCCGCCACACGAGCTGAGTCTCAAACGTGTTGGATTAAAGTGTGCTCCTGTTTATTTCCAGAGACAAAATTATAACGTGCTCACTGGCGAGTGCACACCTGTGAGGGTAAGTCTGCGAGGAGTCGAGGACAATGATGAACCCGAAATTCGGGACGAAGTTTACTTCTGGGTGGGGAGAAGGAGGAGGACAGAAGCCTGAAGGAGACAGGCTTGGGTAACCCGGCGTTCCTTCAGTTACACTCCACATAGTTTGTACACAGCACACGTTTTGTCCTGTCCTGTCTTGTTTTGCCAAGCTGGGGTTCGAGTCTAGAGCCTTGACACAGCAGGCAACTGCTCTGCTGAGCTACAGCCCCAGCCCTGGTGTACTGTTTTATAAAGTTCTGAAAGGTAAAATACTTAGGTAGTCACAGGAGTTGAGTTTTTCGGTTTCTTTCCTTCCTTTGGTTGTTCATATTTTCAGGTATTTCTACAATGAGCACGGAGAGCTTGTATAATAAGGAAAGGTCATAAAAGTAACTCCTTTAAAAAAAAATCCTTAAATGAATAAAAATCATTCTGATGTTACATTTAAGATAACAAAGTGGGGGGGAGGTAGCCCAAACAATGTGAGTAAATGTAAAAATGATAAAATAAAAAAATTCTATCAAAAAAAAATAAAGCATTTGCTAAAGAATGTATATTTGTGCCATGTAGATAAATATGTGTATATATGTATATATGTGTGTATATATATATATACACACATATAAACTAATTTTTTTTCTCTTTTGGGTGGTACTGGGATCTGAACTCACAACCTAACACTTGCTAGGCAGGCGCTTTACCACTTCAGCCAGTCCACTAGCCCTGTTTTGTATTAGACATTTTCAAGATAGGGTCTTATGAACTGTTTGCCCAGGCTGGTTCGGAACTTCGACCCTCCTGATCTCTGCCTCCTGAATAGTTAGGATTATAGGTGTAATCCACAGCACACGGCCACATACGTTAATTTTAACTTAATCTTTTTAGAATAAACTTTGACTTGATCTATCTTATTTTAAGAGCTATTGAGGGTAACATTTTAAGTGTTTGGATAACATTTTAAGTACTTTGGGGATTTGGCTAGTTAATGGGACCTTAGGGGGAGTTTCTGTTAATTATGGTAACTTTATCAGTAAGTCTCTCCACTCTAGGTTAAGTGAGAATTCGGGCTGAGGATGTAGCTCAGTGGCAGAACACTTGCACAGCACATTTGAGGTCCTGGGATTCAGTTCTAGCGCCCACCCCCCAATATACCCAAACCAACAAGCAAATGAATACAACTAGAATCTGAATTTTAGTATGTTAAGTATTTTTAAAAGGCACACTGGTATACCCTCACTTTGTAAGTGAGGGACTTGGCAGAATGAGGCAAATTCTGATCATGCCATTGCCCTGCTGAAGTCATCTTTAACTAATTGCAAAAGCAAAAGGGACCCTTAGCTTGGCCCTGACAGCAGGAGGCTGTGAAGCCTGAGCAGCCCGGGGATCAGGAATGAACGCAGCCCTTTATCAGCCTGTGTGTGCTGACACTGTGTTGCTGACTTTCATACAAAGAGCGCCAGGCTTCTTAGAAGACACAGCCCACACGTCAGGCTCCTGCTGATTGCTGACACAGGAAGCTCCTGTGAGGACGCACAGAAGCCGGCCTTTGTGACCTGGCTGTGTGAGTGGGGAGCGGGCAGGCAGAGGGACACTCTCATCTTTCTGAAGGAAGCACTGTCACCAGCTCAGCTCTTCCAGATGGGCTGCATGGTCTCTCCAGCTCACAAGAAATTGACTTTGTTTTTGCAAAACCAGCGAGGAAGAACCAGAGTCTGGCTGCACACGTGCATCCCTGTCTCCCTGTTACCCTCCTGGTGACCACTCACACAGATTGCTCGAACCCTCACACTGCAGCCTCCCCAAATGTGGGCTGTGGTCCCCATGATGATGGAGCAAAACGAAAATGATCCCCAGTCAAGTGCCCTTTTGTGGATGCCTTGGAAAGAGGAAGCGGGCAGGGCTGTTGGTGACTCACTCTCAAGGGAAGTGAGACAGGCGTCCCCTCACCTTTTCAACGTCTGCCTTTGTCACATTGATGTCAGCGTCCATCTTCTCAAAGTACTGCTGCGCCCTGTCGGCCTCTTTGCAGTCCCGCTCAAACCGCCTCTTACTCTGCAAATGGAGAACACAGTGGGGTGGTGACAAGGCCCAAGATGGCCAGGAGAAGGCAGAATTTCATCCAGGACCCCCAACAGGCCTTCTGCTTTGAGCTGATTTGCAGATAACCATTTCCAGGAGTTGTTCTAAAACCCCCATTTATTTCCATCAATGCTGGCACGTGTGTGTTCTCTCCATAGTCCTTCTAGAAAACAATAAGCCACCCGAGCACTTCTGGCCCGATATTGGCTTGAGATAATGGCTCTAGAAACAGATTAGATGAAATTTAAATGAGGAGTGCTTTTGCTTGCTTTTGACTTACTGGGGAACTCGAGCCTAGATTCAATTCGAATGAGAGAATCTGAAGCCGATTCTTCAGTGTCAGTCCTCCACTTACCGACTCCAGCTGCTTCCAGCAGGTCTCGATGTGCTGTTGGGCTTTTCTTCCATCGTGAAAGTTCTGGAGAGGGGGAAAGAAACCACATCAGGGATCAGCACCCATCCTTCTCCTCCGAACATGGGAGGTAGGGGATCTCATCTGCTTAAATAACATTTTGATATTGAACTTCTGGGCTGAGGCACAGCTCCATGGTAGAGCACTTGCCTCGCACGCATGAGGCCCTGGGTTCCATCTCCAGCACTGCAAAATACACACATGTAAACATAAATACTGAGCACCCAGCAGGTGCAATCGAAAGAAATTTAGCAGCTAAAAAACCCTCAAATTAAAGGGGAAATAAGAGTAGTCACAAAGTTCCCTTTACACACAACAATATTGCATGTGAAGACATGCAATATTGTATCACTTGTGAAAACAGGAGTGTTTTATAAAGACAGCAACGACTTTTGCTGTTAGCTGCTTGGAGCGTAATTCATACACTGAGTGACCCTTTCACATTGTGTGATCCGACGGGTTTTAGTAAAGGCACAGAACTACACAATCATCACAATTAATTTGAGAATATTTTCAGCACCTGGAAGAGAAAAACTATACTTCTTAGCTGTCACCCTCTAGTCCCCCATCCTCCCCAGCCCTCAGCAACCACCATGATATTCTGTCTCAAATCTGCCTCTTCTGGTCACACAGGATGAAGACGTTTGTGAGTGTGGTGCTCACTTAGCAGGGTTCAGCCATGTTGCCACAGGTAGCCGTACTTTATTCTTTTTTATTGCTAAGTGACACTTCATGTATGGCTGTACCACATTTTGTTTATCAATTGAGGAATATTTGGTTTGTCCCCAGTTTCAGGCTATGACAAGTGAAGCTGCTACAAACATTTGCGTAAAAAGCATTGTGTGGATGGGGATTGTCATCCCTTAGGTCTGTTTCCACATGAAGATAAATTCACCTCTGTGCTACATGGCCAAGGCCCCAAGGCAGGCTTATGTCTGCTGCTGACTGGCTGGGACCCCAGGGAGCCAGGCAAGGCTTTGTAGGGTCTGCAGGGCTTTCTTGTCTGAATGAGCCAGAGGCAGTAAGTGACCCAGTGTAGATGTTGTGAAGGGAAATCCCAGAAAGGAGCCTCTAGCAACAATCCTGAAGGTGACAGTGCATGGACCAGATGGCTGCAGGGCAGGCGGTGAGAGGGGGTGAGATTTGGGGTGGTGTGTGTGTAGTGTGTGTGTGTGTGTGTGTGGTGCTGAGGGTGAACCCAGGGCCTGTGCATGATAGGTAAGCGCTCTATCTCTGAGCCACATCCCAGACCCCTTGGGTGTCCTTTGATGAGTCAAGTCAGCAGGACTTCCTGGAGATTAGGTTGGATGCGAGGTAAGGGGATGGTCAGGGTGGCCCCACGGCTGTTGGTCTGGGCTGCACAAGGACAGGGAAGACAAAGGAGTGGATCTGAAGAGAGAGGAACATGCACATAATTTTAGTTAAGGTGGGTCCTGGGGTTGAAGTCAGGGCCTCACGCCTGCTATGCTGGCGCTCTTACCACTTGAGCCACTCCGCCAGCCCCTTCTTGGTTACCATTTTTTGAGACAGGCTCTTGCCATGCAGTACAGGATGGCCCAAAACTCTCATTCTCTTGCCTTAGACTCCTGAGTGCTGGGATTACAGGCATGTACTTCTATACCTGGCTAACATCAGTATTTCTACAAATCTCGGAGTAGAGCTGAATGGGTCTTGGATACAGAAGTGAGTGTAGAATCAGCACTAAAGATCCATTCAAGAATCATAAGCATAAAGTGTGTGGTTAAAGCCAAAAGGGTAGATGGATGAGGTTGCCACAAAAGACAAGAATCCCAAAGAGCTGAGTGCCAGTGGCTCACATCTGTAATCCTAGCTACTCAGGCAGGCCCTGAGTTCAAACCCCAGTACCAAAAAAAAAAAGACTCCCAAAGAAATAAATACACAGAAATATTAAGAAAATGCAGTCTTTTTTTGCCCAAAATCACTAGTTCCTTAACTTTTCACATCTTTTCACCAGACACCACTGATTTGGTCAGTGGACTGGGGATTTCCCAGGTCCCCTTTTCACCCTGTGTCCCCCGAGGCTGACAAGCAGTGGACCTCATAAACAGCTCCCCTGCGCTTCAGGTCTGGTTAGATTTGTTGTGCAGGCCAGGAATTCATGCCTGCAAGGCAATGGGTGGCGGGGACTCTCCGCTGATCTCAAAGTTGGAGTAGGGCTCCCCTTGGCTTTTGAGGACCAGGGGCCATAGCAGCTCCTCACTGAGATTAGCCCAGGGACTGAACCTTTCCTTATTGCTTTCCCTACACCTGCCATGTTGTCCTAAGTGTTCCTGTTTAGCTGGTTTCAATGTGCTGTGTTTTCTGACCAGCCAGGCGTGCGTTGGTGGTAGGGGTGCACTGTGGAAAAGGCGAGAGAATGGCAAAAATGAGTTCTTCTAGGTACAGCCTCCGAGCTCAGAGGCCCACCCACTCAGACCTGCACCTAAGCCATAATGACAGCTGGCTGGGAGGAGAGAGATCAGAACAGTGCTCCTTTGGAAAGGATGTTTTCTCAGCTCTCTTTGGAGGTCACCTTTCTCTGTTTCAAGTGCCTCTGCAAAATATATATATATATATTCGTAGTGCTGGGGCTTGAACTCAGGGCCTACACCTTGAGCCACTCCACCAGCCCTTTGTGGTGATGATTGTTTTCGAGATAGGGTTTCAAGACTTGATCCTCCTGATCTCTGCCTCCTGAGTAGCTAGGATTCCAGGCATGAGCCACCGGCATCCAACATGCAATAATTTTTATTCATCCAGCAAGTTTTGGGTCTCTAGGATCCCAGCGGAAGCCTCTTGGGGCTTCATTTTTCAACTTTCATAATGGACACAAGATAAAACAGGAAAGAAACAGAGTCTAAGGCAAGGAATAAAAATAACTGTGGGAGAATTAAGAATCAGAGCTGAAGGCAAGGTGAGAAAAACTCTGGGCCTAGGAGGAAGGACACAAAACAGGTTTTCTGAAAGCTACATTTAGTCATTTTAGAAGGGAATGGCCAGAGGGAAGGAGGGAGGGCTGTCCTCAGGGGAAAAGGGAGGCAGAAGAACAGGCTGAAGGAGAATCCCAGGACAAAGAAAAAGGATCCATTTCAAACCACCTGGACTAACCGTGCCTTCTCAGTGAGGTATCTTTGTCCCCAAAGTCCCTTGTCTAGTGGCTTTCTCTCACTGCAAAAAAAACTATTCCCACTTCCCAAGCAGGACCACAGTGCCGTGCATGTGCTGAAGAGATCATTCCCCAAAAGTTTACTGCAAATTCAAAGACAGGTACAAAAAGAAAAAGAAAACCAAGTTGGGTGTGATGGTGTAGACCTATAATCCCAGCACTTGGGAGGTTGAGGCAGGAGGATCTCAAGTTCAAATCTAGTCTGGGCTGCATAGTAAGATGTTGTTGAGAGAGAAAGGAAGGAGAGGAGGGAGGGAAAGCAAAGAAAAGGAAAGGGAAAAGAAAACACAACCTCAGCCCTCATTTCCGAGCTCTGGCTGAAGCCCCATCTCTACAGCAGCTATTGAAGGGACACTTGAATGAAAGCAAGCCCCACGCCAAGGGCAGCACTGTCGAGGAGAGGGCGTGTATACAGAAGCACACTGCTCAAGACAGACTGGCTTTATTTTTATTTTCTTTTCCTTTACCGTGCTTGGGGGTCAGAACCCAGGCCTCTTGAATGCTAAGCAAGTGTTCTAACACTTAGCCACACCCCCAGCCCAGCTTTATTTTAAAAGGCATCTTTTCTGAAGACAAGTCTTTAAAAAAAAAAGGCATATTTTGGGAGCACTGGAGATGGTTTTGAGTTAACATTCATAGCGTTATTCTCCGGTGACTCTTTAATTTAAATGTTTAATAATCGTGTTTGTTTCTAAAGCAGGGCGTGTCCCTTACCTTACTGTGGGCTCTGGCCCATGAAGACTCCTCAGTCATACATCTCTCCCATGACTAAATACCTGAGCCGGGCACCAGTGGCTCACGCCTGAAATCCTAGCTACTCAGGAGGCAGAGATCAGGAAGACTGAGGTTCAAAGCCAGGTTGGGCAAATAGTTCAGGAGACCCTATCTCAAAAAACCCATCACAAAAAAGAGGGCTGGTGGAGTGACCGAGGTTAGGCCCTGAGTTCAAGACCCAGTACCACAAAAAAAGAGAAGAGACCTGTGATGGTGACGCTCCTTCCACTGGGAATGACCCCTGAGGATTTACTTGTCATGTAACACAGGAAGCATGTTCTTGTCATGTGACCCTTTAGAACATGGAGGGAGGAACCAGTGCCCTCCAGGGCTCGGGGTGCGCCTGACCTAACAGCAGGACTGTCTTCCCCTCCTTTGACAGAAAAGCGATCTTCACAGCTACAAAACTGAGCAAATGGAGGGGAGCGGGGCCGATGCATTTGTTATTTACGCACAGCAACGGCAGGGCACTTCTCCGGACAGTGGGCACGTGTGTGTCTAAAAGCGTGCCATCAGCTCTACATAAAGAGGAATTGTTCCCTGGCCAGAGATGATAAGCGCTTCTTTTGGAGCCATGGGGTGAAGTCATCTCAGCTCACTTCTCCTATCAGAAAAGAGACAGGAAATGCCATCTCTGGGGTCCCCAGAGCGCTCTGGACTTTCTCCTGTAATAAGAGAAACACAATGATAGACCTAAAAAAAAAACAAAAAAAAAAAGCCTAAAGGAATGTGGGGTGACAGATACTATTACTTATTTCATCTCAATTTTTAGTTGTGCTCAAGTCTCTGCAGAAAAAAAAAATCATCCTTTAAAACTCTTTTAGACATTTCCCTGTGACAAGGGACAGCTGAGAATTAAAAAAAAAAAATCACATAGCACATAAAATAAGCAAGTCTGAGCTTAAAGAAAGGTTGACAGTGAGGACTGGTAGAGTGACTCCAGTAAGAGCGCTTGGCTAGCAAGCGGGAAGCCCTGAGTTCAAACCCCAGTGGCACCAAAAATATATAAATAAAGAAAACAAATATAGTTCAAGAAAAATGACAGTGACAAAGCTTAGAAGATTCT